GATAATAATTTAATGCTGATGTGCTAAAAAAATAAGCATTTCCTTATTTATTAAAAGGATACCAAAGTATAACTTCACAAAATGCTCAACGCTCCTTATTTTAACGCAGTGGTAAGACTGCTTTTTTGTGTAAGAGTTCTCTTAATATTACAACTTTATTTTCGTAGTATTATGATTTTATTTTTGGAATTTAAAAAAACTCTTGTAGATGGTTGTAATGCAAAAACAAAATCTTGTRGTGTGGTCTTAATATTCTGTCGTGGGAAATTAAAGACAGGAGACAAATTTTTAAAAAGTGCTGAAAGTGATGACTTTTTTTCTTAGAAAAAGTTGATCTGATGATGATGATGATGATGATGATGATGATGATGATGATGATGATGATGATGATGATGATGATGATGATGATGATGATGCTGATGATGATGATAGAGAGCATGTCCAAAATCCTAAAAGTGTTGGGTTTTAATCTGGTTTCAGTGTGACACTTCATGACTGGTTTATTTTTCCTCCTCTTATGATTAATCAGTGATTTTTGGTTTCAAATCACATCAGAAGAACTTTCAATGAAGAAGCATTTTTCTCAACAGGTCACTCTATCTAAAATTTCAGATGTTAAGTTTATGTTTTATTTTTTCACCTAATTTAATAACCTTAAAGCAAACCCTAAAGCTGTTTTTTTTCTCAGGTTTTCATCAAAATGTTTGGGACTGCAGARGAAGAGGCGTGAAAGCAGAAGGACAAAGACACGGACAGGGATGGAGAGGAAGAGGGGAGGAAAGAAGACCATGGGGTAGAGGAGGAAGAGGAGGAGGAGGAGGCCAATATTTTCATCAGTTTCATCCTCCCTCYCATGAAGGACGAGCCGTGGACCTGGGCCATCCTCTGAAACAGACCAGAGGTCGATCGTATCACAACAGAGGAAGATATCAGCAGGCTCCAATGTAAAAAACAGGATGGCACAAGAACATTTCCTCTTTTTTCCTTTTTTTATTTTTAAATTGGTAATCTTTTCCTCTTGTCTCCTGTCAGGTGGCCACATCCTCCTGCTCCTTGAATACAAGTCAACCTTGAAGGGAGGAACTAAAGATTAGAGCTGAGGWCTTAGTGAAAAGTAGATGGAAAAGGCTTGATGAAAAGCCAGATGGGATCAAAAGTCTCCAAACAAACTGATTAGTGACTGACCAGTTGGGATTGTTTATGTAAAGGATGATGAAGGAAAGAAAAACAGAGTTTAACAGGAGGCACGGTGTCCTGGCATTTCAGTGTAAAATCTGAAAGGAATCCTGCAGATACAAGACACAGCCTTCACTTTATCTCTGGTCAACTTTCATGTTTTACTCTGGCAACAAAAAAAAAAGAAAAAAATGAAGATTTAGTCATCAAACAACTTGCAAAGCGCCACTTCATGCTCGAACTGGGAAGTAGATTAATGGATAATCCTGGAACCTCTTATCTTAGACCGTAAACAGGAAAGACAAAAACCTAAAAACCTGCGTGTATCCAGTAGCTTAATCCTTTTAAAGGAGTTGGATTTACTAGAAGAGGAGTTCTGCTATCGAATGACCAGATTAGTTTAGATAATCGGATGGGTTTTGTTTTAAAAAACAAAGTGAGACCTCCATAGATGGTGTCTTTTTTTAATGGGTGCTAAAGAAGATATCTTAGCTTATGTTTCGCAACAATTTGAACCAATACTACTAAGACAAGGCAAATTTAAGGGTTTAGCTAAAATATTTTAGTTCTGTGTAGCTCAGTTAATAATTACACATTTATATTTAAATTTTCTATCCATAATTTTCTAAAAATGGGAAAATTCTCCCCTAAAACCAGCAGACATCCTGCACATCACTGAAACCTACACTGCTCAAAAAAATAAAGGGAACACTTAAACAACGCACGCTAAATCCAAGTAAATCAAACTTTTGTGTAGCACATTCAACTATGTACAGAACAAAGTACTCAATGCGAATATTTCATTGATTAAGATCGGAAGTTAGCGTGCGTTAAGGGTTCCCTTTATTTTTTTGAGCAGTGTATAATTAGAGATCTGGGACTACTTTAGTCAACATTTGACCCCTTAACGTACGGCTGCACTGTTGTGTGTTTCCCAGAGGGACACACACGTATAATATCACTGTTCTCTGTGGGTTTATGGCTTGATTAGGAAGGCAGAGCGTGAACACTTCAGCTATTAGTTTTTTTTTCTGTAGCAACAAAAATGTCTTAAAATCCAACAGAGATGAAAAGGATGCAGAGAAAGTTCTCTGGCACCTTCAGTCCTGTGGGTGAACATGTTTGTTAGTTCATGTGGCTGTAAGCAGATTGGAAAAGAAATGAGGGTTATTTACTCAGCAAATGGATACAAATGGAGGGATATCAGATTGTTGATATTGTACAGTGATGGTAGGATTAACACAGTTAAACCACAGCAGTCATGAGTACAAAAAATAGAGGAAGCATATTTTAGTTAGAAAATGKAACAATGTGGTTAATAAAAGGTCTAAATGTAACCTTGTAGCCTGCAGGGTTTCTCACTAAAAGTATTGATTGTTTTGTTTCTAATTTAAAATCTTTAAAGAGGTTCTGCAGCCTACAAACAATACAAATTCGTCAGAGAAAGTCGGCAGAACACAGAGTTCTGCTCGACAACAGAAGGTGAAAGTGTTGTAGTCTGGAGCCACAAAGTGATTTAAATACAATTTGAAGATAATTAGAATCAGATTTAGAGTTTGTGGGAAAACATTGGAGAGATCCAGAGTCAGTTTTGTTATGAACCAGCTGTGACTTTTTAAAATATTTTTTGTTATTCACTTTTTGGACTTAGATCTTAGAACTTGGGCAAAAAATAAATGGTAATTTTTGGAAGTCTGTTTTTTATGTTGGAATGATTTTTAGGTTGATGATGTGTGTTTTAGAAAAAAAAGGACAAAATATTAAAAATAAAAGTATCAAAGTATAAAAGTATAAAAATAAATAAATAAAGCATGTTCTCTGGAGAACTCAGGATCACTTTAGAAAATGAGTCTTTGAAGAAAAAATGTGAAAAACTGTGTACTTTGTCAGCCACAACATTATGACCACCTGCCTAATATTCAGTAGGTTCTCTATTCATCGTGACACCGCCGTAAAACAGGCTTAGAGATGTAACATTTCTGCTGTCGTACCTGAACTTTGAACCCTGAGGATTATAATCTGTGGTCTCTGTGGATTGGTCTTCCTGTGATGACATCAGTGTGGAGGCTGGTTAAACCCCTCACACTCAAAACCGTTCTGCAGGCAACAGCSTCAGCCATAAACATTCAGCGGAACCTAAAACTGTTAATCTGTTGAATCAGATCATCATGCAAGAAATCAGGACATGATTTTGATACGGCTGCATATTTTCAAAAACACAAAGTTTGTGTGTTTTTTAATTTTGAGTTYGAGTAAACAGTTCACACATTGAACCTCTGGCTCGACGTCATCCGACCACACCGTCCACTCCCTGGCTTTCTTCTCAGGCTGGTGGCAGCAGAAGAAACAACAGAGCGTGCGGGTGTTTTGTGGTTAGTAACTGTGGTGAGCGCAGTGGGTGTGGGTGTACGTGTGAGGAGGAGGAGGAGGCACGAAGGGTGGGGCGCACACAGCACACAGTCCAGTTGCCCCTTTTAGATAATAACAATAACAGGAGGAGGGATGTTGTTTCTTCTTGTGGTGAGGAGAAAGTTGGGGATGGAGGGTTAAAAAAGAGGAAGGGTGGAAGGGAAGAAAAGCAAACTCAGAACATGAAGGAGAGAGGAATGGAGGATGAGAGCAACGATAAAGAGAATAAATGGATTGTGATTGAGAGGAGGACGAGTTGGGAGGCTGCRTCTTCCCTCCATCAGAGGAAACCCTGCTGGCCTCCTTTCAGATCAGCTTCCTGTGTGTGTGGTGGACGTCTGGGCGTGGTTCCTCCAGCGGCAGCGACACAAACACACAATCAGACGGTCTTTCAGTGGCCTCCTCCCAGGGACCGGCTCAGGCCCACTTCCACTTCGACGGCGATCATTCGGCAGACTCGGGTTTTCCATCTTATCAAAACCAGCTGAGACTTTCCTCCCTCTGAGCTCATCAAAGAAGCCAACTACTGGTCTTACTCAGTTAAATCAAGACAAGATTTGATTTAAACATCGCTGGTATCCAGTTCTGGCCACAGAGAGCTGGAGCTAACTGAATCCATGAAGACCACAAAACCGCTTTGTTGTGTGTGTCGCAGAGCTCCAGGGCTTCACTTCTGATTCTGTTTTAACCTGCAGGCAGGTGACACGTTTATACCTGTAAAATAAATACCCTTGGTTCACTACAGAACTGTGAACAAGTCATTAATCAGGTCTTTTCTATATTTCTTCAAACTTTCTGAAGATTCTGTGATTTAACAACTTCTGTATGAGTTATGAGATTTGGTACTCGCAGGATGAGTGACAATGTTTGTTCTTTGATTTCATGTGTTTGTCCAGTTTATACGTAAGCTTGCACCATTTTATACTTTTATGACTTCCCTTTTATCCTTGCTTCTTGTTTTTCACATGCAAAGGAATCCTGGGGACAGAAATATATTCTTTTTTTTTTTTGTTCTTACAAAAGCACGAACCAAAGGCATCCAGAAACATGCTGAGCCAAATTGAACAAGTATAACCCTTGTGTATTTACAACTGTCTATAAATACAAACTGCCTTCAGTCGCTGGGGCCATAACAGAGGAATCAACTCCCAGGTTGTTATGTGTGAGGCGGTCATCAGTTCAAACACTGCAGACTGCTGCCTAATGGCAGGAAGTCGCACTCGGGGTCGGCCTGTGGCATAGGCGGTATCGACAAATGCTAAAAGCGCCGTCCATGTAGGGCAGTGGTTCCCAAAGTTGGGGTAGGGATCCACAATGGGGTCCCAAAACATCAAAGTGGGGTCCTGAAAAAAATTTCTGGATTAATTATATTAGAAAATAACTGACTTTTTTTTTTTTGCCTTTGTTGTTACAAAAGAGTAAGGTTTAAAACTGACAAAAATAGCATAATGAATATTGTTACTATGCTCTTTTTTTGACATGAAAACAGTGTTTATGATCCAACAACGGTTGGGGGCTCAGGTCTCTGCTGCTGGTATTTTGAGGGTCAAAGGCTGAAAAGTTTGGGAACCACTGATCTAGGGGGTGCCACAAACTTGGGATGAAAAATAAATATTAGTCTATAAAATAATCACTGGTTACTTTGGCTTCTTAAGGAAACTTGTTTTGCAGATTTCTCAGCTGCTTTGTTATTACGCGTGGCGTTATATGATGCAGAGACTGTTTCAGGATGCAGTCAAGACTAATTGGTGCTCAGTGTTTAGATAGAAAACAAATCAAAGATAAAGTAAGTAAAGATTTCAGAAAAAGTTTAGGTTAAAGTCTGGTTTTCAGTGTTCTGCTTTCATAAAATACAGATTTTATGTTTTGTTAATCCCCAAAAATTTAGTAAAACGTTCTTTAAATGGCTGGAAAATGCACAGTTTTTAGTAGATCTTTTRCAAAAAAWTTYCMRGRG